ACTGGCAGGGGTCTCCACACGGCTGCTCCAGCACTCAGGGATGCATCGGGGTAGGTCCATGTGGCTTCTCCTTGGGGGTATCTTGCAGGAAGTCAGCCTTGCAAGCTGAAGCAGGGAACGGCTAAGGCAGCTGCGACCACCACAAAGCAAGGGACCTGAGAACTAGAAAGGCGAGGCTCACCAAGCCATTTATCCTTCCGCCCTTCAATTAATCCAACGTGTGTTTATCGGCCAGGTTGGCACAATAAACTAACTAACTCAAAAGTATTCTTGTATTGAGGGAGTACTTGAGTGGAGGCCCAATGTCCTTCTGCTACCTTAATACTGAGCCTATAAATATATGCACATTGATCTATTTCCCCATCTTCATATATAAATATATTTACATATGTGCATGCATTTATTTAGATCTCTATAAGTGTCCTTTGCCTCCTAGCTCTTTTCTCTATTTCTTTTGACTTTCCTCTTGTCTCACTATCATGCTCACTCTTCACTTGGGATTCGGTCATTCCTCTTGGTTACATTACCCTTGATCACACCCTACCAGGCCTCCTACACCCTCCTCACCACAGATTTGGATCACTTGTTCCCTTGTCCCTGGGTTTGTTAACACCACTACCTTTCCCCCCACATCCCCCTCTCCCATGTCCCCCTGGAACTGTCACTCCCATTGTTTTCTCCTCCAGATTGTTCATCCAGCCTATCTTATTTAGACAGACCTGCAGACATAATAACATGCACAAAAACAAGAGAGCAAAACCAAGCAACAATGTACAACAAAAAACCAACAAACCAATGACAAAAACAACAACAACACAATAAGAAAGAAAAGCTTGTAGTTAGTTCAAGGACTGTTTGCAGCCCTTTAGGAGTGTTTTCCAGTCCAGTCTGTTGTGGCACCATGCCCTGGCCCCAAAGTCCACCTTCAGCATTCCCTGTGGACCTTGCCGCTCTGTTCCCTTGCTGTTCTGTTGCACCCCCTTAGTGTTTTGCCTCGGTGTGGCGGGATCAGATTGGGCGCAATTCCCACACTGTGTCTCAGGTATTGTCCTCTGTAGGGCTATGGGTCAGTGAGGGACATCATGTCTCATAGTGTGGCTGGCCATGTGGTCCTCTCTGTGGACTGGCTGCTCTAATCGGGAACATCTCCTCAAGGCCTGGTGGGCCAGGATGTGCTCCACTCTCTCCTCTTCCCCCTTCATCTGCTCCTGTGTGCTCCGATCAGATATGTCCCTCTCCTGGAGCTGCAAATTCAATGCAGGCCTTTGAAATTTAAATTATTTGGGGGGGGGGGAGGAAGAGGCAGGTGTCCATGTAGTAGTTGGGATTGGGGCCGGCCCCTCATACCTTTCCCTAAGTTTCTTTTGGAGTTCCTGGAACTGGCTCTGATGCCACTTGATGCAAATCTGGAGGCTGGCTGTGTATCCAGACAGCTGCAGGCTTTCTTTCAAGTTGGCATGGGCCTGTCGCAGACTGGGAGGAACTAGGATCCCAAACCAGTTCAGAGGGTCTCCAGGTGCTTCAGAGGGCTCTGGCTCTGGAGTCTTGGGAAGGCCCTTGCACCTTCAGAGAGCTGGTTCATGGGGTCCCTACTCCTCTGGGATCTGGGCGATGGCTCTCGCCACTCATAACTTCTGAAGTCTGTCCTGCATGTCACGGGTACAAATGCAACAATGGGGCACCGTACTGGAGGCACACTGCAGAGGTCCTACCGACTTTGGGACCTGTGGTGTAACGAGCCTTGGAGAGAGAGAACAAGCCCTCCTCCACTCAGACGTTCAAGGCTGCCTGCTTTGCCTCTAGCTCCTCTAGGTCCTGGAGCAGATGTAGGAGCAGGGTGCCTGACTCAGTCCGGAGGTCTGGCCCTGCCATGGTCTACACTACACAAACAAGCTGGGGGCATTCTCGTACAATTGTTATCACCATCCATCCATCCATCTATCCGTTGTGTCAGGCACATTTGTTGCCATCATGATTCTCAAAACATTTTATTTCTACTTGAGCTCTTAGTATCAGCTGCTCATTCCCCCCCCCCACCTCATGAACCCTTGATAATTTATAAATTATTATTAGTTTTTCATGTCTTACACTGACCGATGTCTCCCTTTATCCACTTTTCTGGTGTCTGTCCTCCAGGGAAGGGGTTATATGTAGATCCTTGTGATCGGTTCACCCTTTCTCCCCTAGTTTCTTCCCCTTAGTCGCTTGGTATTGCTACTCTCATTATTGGTCCGGAGGGGTTTATCTGTGCTGGATTCCTTGTGTTTCCAGCTCTTATCCGTACCCGTGTACATGCTCTGGTCTAGCCAGATTTGTAAGGTAGAATTAGGGTCATGATAGTGGGGGAGAGGAAACCTCAAAGAACTAGAGGAAAGTTGTGTGTTTCATTGTTGCTATACTGCAGCCTGACTAGCTCATCTCCTCCCAGTGACCCTTCTGTAAGGGATGTCTAGTTGCCTACAGATGGGCTTTGGATCTCCATCCTGCACTCCCCCTCATTCACAATATGATTTTTTTTGTTCTTTAATGTGCTTCTTCCATGTGGGCTTTGTTGCTTCCCAGCTAGATGGCCGCGTGTTTATCTTAAGACCCCAGACGCTATATCTTTTGATAGCTGGGCATCATCAGCTTTCTTCACCACATTTGCTATGCACCCGCTTTGCCTTCACCAATTGTGTTGGGAAGGTGAGCGTCATAGAATGCCAGTTTAATAGAACGAAGTGTTCTTGCATTGAGGGAGTACTTGAGTAGAGGCCCAATGTCTATCTGCTACTAAACCTATAAATACTAAATACTAAACTTATAAATATATGCCCATAGATCTATTTTGCCATCCTCATATATAAATATATTTACATATGTACATACCTGTATTTAGACCTCCATAAATGCCCTTTGCCTCCTAGCTCTTTACTCTATTTCATTTTACTTTCCTCTTGTCCCATTATCATGTTCAGCTTTCATTTGGGGTTCAGGAATTTCTCTCAGTTACATTGCCCTGGATCAAGCCCTACCAGGCCTCCTATACCCTGCTCGCCATCAATTTTGGATCATGTTGTTCCCTTGTCCCTGGGTTTGTTAACACCCACTTCCTTTCCCTCTTCTCCCCCTCTCCCATGTCCCCCAGACGATAGGTCCTGTTGTTTTCTTCTCCAGATTGTTTATCCCTTCTATCTTATCTAGATAGACCTGCAGAGATAATAATATGCACGAAAAACAAGACCGAGAAAGATAAAGCAACTAAAGAAAAAACAAAACAACAACAAAAGCACCAATGACAACAACAAAAAAAAGAACAGCCTGTAAATAGTTCAAGGTCCGTTTGTTGACTTTTAGGAGTGTTTTCCCATCTAGTCTGCTGGGGTGCCATGCCCTAGCCCCACAGTCTATTTTTGGTATTCCCTGGCAACTTTATTGCTCTGTTCCCCTTGCTGTTCTATCGGACACTCTTAGTATTTCACCTCAATGTGGTGGGGTCCGACTGGGCGCAATTCCCGCACTGTGTCTCCAGTGTTGCCCCCCGTAGTGCTATGGGTCAGTGAGGGACGTTGTGTCTTGTAGTGGGGCCAGCCCTATGGTCCTCTCTGTGCTTTGGCTGCTCTGAGCGGGAATATCATCCTCAGGGCTTGGTGGGCCAGGATGTGCTCCACTCTCTCTCCCTCCCCCTTCCTTTGCTCCTGTGCGCTCTGACCAGGCATGTCCCTCTCTCTGAGCTGTAGCTTCAGTGCTGTCCTCTGACGTGACTTCTTCTGCTGTAAGTGGGGTCTGTCCTTGTAGTTGGGTTTGAGGCCAGCCCCTCAGACCTCTCTGTTGGTTCCCTGATTCATACTGATATGTTGCATTCACGTCTTGGAGCACTGGGTTGAAATCTGGCCCCTCTTTCCCTGTGGAGATATCAACAATACCAGAACCTGCCTGGACTTGGGCTCTCCTCTAAGGGCAAGGAAGTTGAAGCTGCTGAATAGGAAGTCCAAGAAGTGGTAGTGGATACAAGGCCCTAAAGCCCAGCAGGAGAGAAGTGGGGCCCATGGGGCCCTCTGTGTACCTGGGAAAAGGCAACTCCCACTTAGAGTCTGGTCCCTTGTAGGACAGGACCCTCATCAAGGATTTTGAAGGGGGGTGAAAAAAGTTTTCCTTTCAAATGATTTCAAAAAATATCTATCTATCTATCTATCTATCATCTATCTATCTATCTATCTATCTATCTATCTATCATCTATCTATCTATCTATCTATCTATCTATCTATCTATATATCTATCATCTATCATGTCCTTTCCTTCCTAGTATCATTAACGAGCTCTGGTGGTGTAGTGGGTTACACATTGTGCTGCTAACCACAAGGTCATTGGTTCTGACCCACAAGTTGCTCTTCAACTTATGGAAAGATGAGGCTGGCTGTTCGTGTAAAGGTGCACAGCCATGGAAACCCACAGGGAAAGTTCTAATCCGCCCTCCAGGGCTGCTCTGAGTGGAAATTGACAGGCTGGCAGGGAGTATGGTTTTGGTTTGGTATGGCTAAAAGTGTAACTGCTAAGCATGCCGTTGTCTGTCAACATTCATCAAGAAGATTGCAGTATTCGTTAATCCAAATATCTCATTGGTGAAAACGACCACGGGGTGTCTTTTTACGGGTAAGTGCAGAAGCAGGGCCAGGGGATCCCACAGTTAGGGAACGTCACTCCTCATCTCGTGGTGTGTTGAACGGCCCCTTTGTCTTTCAGGAGGGTTGGCGTTGGCCCACGTGCTCTTTTTCTATGTGAAGTACTTGGTGCTCTTTGGCGTCCCAGCTCTGCTCATGCGCCTGGATGGACTCAAACCACCGCCCCTGCCACGCTGCGTGAGCACCATGTTCAGCTTCACGGGCATGTGGAGGTCAGTGGTGTGACTTATTAAATCCCTTCCTGTCTGGTGGGAAGAAGCAAGGGGTGGCTGACTGCAAAGGGACTGAGGCAAAGTTTGGAACTTTAGTGTCTTCCTCTCCTTAAGAGGGAGGCGATTCATGCCTCTGGGCCTCTCAGCAGCATCTTCAGGCGATGCCGAGGTGCAGAAGGTTCTTTTGAAGCTGTATGCCTTACGGCTTCACAGAAGGTTAAGTTTGGAGTGGTTTCTGATGAACTTAGGACAAGCTACCGTGTCTTGATTTTCTTTTCTTAGACATGACATCTTGGTGCCAGGGCTTCAAAAAGCACATGGAAAAAATGGAATGAGAGAGTAATGGCATTTTCCCACACACTTTTTGAATCCCCCTCATATATGTGGGGCGATAGAGTTAAAATAACTGACGGGTTGATAACAGAGGCCAGTATTACCATTTACTAAGTCTCAGAACTTAGGCAATTTAACCAACGTCTGCGGGAGTTTTCTGATCTCTGTAATGAGAACAATCATCCCACCCCTGCTGCTTACAGAGTGTAGTTTTGAAGATTAAATGAACATGTTTACAAATGTTAGCGCTTACCAACAATTATTCATGTACTTGCTGCACATGGATAAGCAGATCCTCCTCCTGAGCGGCCCCATAGCTTTTTTTTTGTCCCATAAACTTATGGTTGGCCTGGAGTCTTTGTTCGAGAGGATTTCCTCAGTCGCTCTGCATTTCTGAAGGCTGCTCTCAGATGGGCCTGCTTGCTGCTGGCGGTGGTGTTTTCCTCCTCACTCCAGGCCATACCAAGTGACAGGTTAGCTTTGCAGTTGCAAACCAAATCCACGTCCCTCAAGCTAGTCTCTTGCATGGCCCTGAGCGTCAGTGCCTACTTGAGTTTTGTACTCTAGGCATGTTCTTGACTTCATCCTAGTCCTGAGTCCACCGGTGCCTCATTGGGTCATATACTTCATCTCAGTCGTTCCCAGAAGATAAAGACTCATATCAGGGATGAACTGGGTGCATATTGTTGCATCTAATGTTGCCTGCTCTTTGCCCAAGGAAGCTGCAGTCAAGAACGAAAATGGCATATCCCACTGGGTAAATCTGTAACAAGAGATCCGTTTAAAGTTCTTAAAAACAATGCTCTTATTTTGATGGCGAAGGTGCTCACGACCTTAGCACCTCAGTTGCTCAAGCGATGGTCACTTGTCATCTTTTCAGTCATCTGATATGCACCTGAAAGTTGGGCAATGCCAAGAGGAAGAAACAAGAAGGATTAGCTGCATTTGACTTGTGTTGTTGCTGAAGACTAGGGTATCAATCCTGGGTCTCCAGAGCAACAAACAAGTCAGTCTTCAAAGCTGTCAAACCAGAGTGCTCATGAGAAGAAAAGATCATGAGTGCTCACCTTGCTCACTTAGGACACATCATCAAAAAACTCTAGTTGCTCGAAGAGGACATTGTGTTTAGTAAAGGAGAGGATCAGCCAAGATAAGGGAAACCTTCTGTGAGATGCATTGACACATCAGTCACAAAAATGGTGTTAGGTTGTGTTTTCTAGAGAAATGAAGCCAGTGACACTCATGTATGAATACTCAAGGGCTTTATATAAAAAAATAAATTTATACCAAGGAAGTGGTTCAGCATAGTCCAACTCAAGTCCATGGGTTCGATGTTAGCCCATCCTAGAGATTCCTCTGGACTCTCACAGCTGCCAGTCAATGAAGCAGGAGGCGACGTGAGAAGCTGGGAGATCCCAGGCCGTTGGGTACAGAGTTGCACGGATCCAAGGACTGCAGGAACGAGGCAGGGGGGCACCAACAATTCCCAGTGGATCACTGACCCCAGAAGCTACATACAGAATCTAAGGAAGAAGAGGGGAAAGAGAGAAGCCAGTTCCCCACTAGGGCTCTTATAAATAGGCCACACCCCCAATGAGAATCATTAGGCTGTGACCTAATTGATAGATTGTACTCCACCCATATGTGTGACAAGTTGACACAACATCTAACTCTCACAAATGGGTTCAAACATACTAAAGGTCACAGATGTGGCACAAGGGCTGAGTAATGTTTTGTTCTGTTATACTAAAGGTCATCATGAATCAGAGATGATTTGACACAACTAAAACCACCAACGAACATTGCTGTTACAATGATAGTGATGAGACTCAGCATCCTGGTGCTCCCTGTTAACCTATAGATATGAAAGTGAAGCCTTATTTAAACTCGTGTTTACATTTGTTCCGGTGTACTTCTTGAAGCCAAAAATTCCATATGGCTATTAAAAGGAGTGCCAAGTCATTGCTTTGATTTACCCTTAATTACTTCATTGATCGTCATAGATCATCCTGTTTTAATGGCAAGGTTGGAGACTGCTGGAAAGGAGGTTCTGTCGAACTAGGAGGCCAAGGAGTGGTCTTGTTTTAAAAAGTGAGCTTGGCTAGAAGGCTGTTGACTTTTGACCTGCTCAAAGAACCGTTGAATAAATGGGTCTGGACTCATGATTTAGGGAGGTGTCACCAGTGTCTCATATGAGCACAGCATGCTCTCGCTCTTCTAGGTGTACATTTGCATTCATGGATTTCTTGGGAAGCATCTCCTCCTAACAGGGCTTCTCCAGTGTCATCAGGCTTTAAAAAATTCCCGACTCCCAGACAGGCCTGCTGGCTCCAGTCTCCTGGCTCCTGGTCCATAATTACTAACCATTGATTGTTGCAAGAGGGAGTATAGACTGTCACCTGACTTTTTAATTTAGAATGGCTGTCTTCTTGTACCTTATTATTATTTTTTTTTGAAATTAGAAAATGAAGATATAAAACATCTATTATGAATATTATTGCTTGTGTATAAAAGAACACATTAACATAATAATGTGGGATATGAAAGATCAAAAATGAAAGAATTGAAAATTCTATAAATTATTAAATACAATACACAATATATTTACTCATTGGTATAAGAGGATGCTTTCTACTTATGTAGAGAGTTACTGTCTAAGAACCCTTAGGGGTAGTTCTACACTGCCATATAAAGTCACTATGAGTTAAAGTTTCTGAACTAGTCCCTGACTTTCATTTTTCTCTTTATTGTCACTGGTTGACTTGACAGTTAAGTATACATACCCTGCCATTTTTTTCTGTATGTCTTTGTTCATATTGGTGTCCTTGACTAGAATATTCCTAATCCCCAATTTTGCTCCATAGGTCACATCTAGGAAGCTTTTCCTAACACCATCCTTCTTCCATTCAATCAGGGATCATTCTCTTTGTTACCCTAAAAAAGCTCCACATGTCTATTGCTGCATTAAGCCATTGATTCATGGAGATCTGTTTTTTAAGTTTCTTTCCTATTGGAAGAAATATGTCAAACTCATTTTTGTATCTTTAACAATTAGTAGAAGGATTTTCATATTTGTTGAAGAATAAATAATTTTTAAAAAATAATAAATAATTAATGATTTTATTGCTCGTTGACTCTGGACTTCATATTTTCATTCATAACCCAATAACAATAATAACCATTCCATTTCATTAATATGGGTTACTTCTTGTACCTTATTTATTGTATATATTTGTCCACCACCCACAGTCATATTTACCACAGAGGAGAAGCCAGACAACATGTCTGTCAAGACTGTTGTCATCTTGATCAGATCTAGACCCTCTCCTTCCTCTCAGTTCAAGCTTTAAGGCAAATGTGAGTGAGAGATCATGAACGTTTACTCTGAGGATGAACCTCTGGAGTGACCCCTTAAAGTGATGTGCTTCTCAAGGGAGGTGTATACAAGGACATGTGACAAAATCACAGCTAGGTCTTCCCTGGGAGTGGTAAATTCTGACCCTGGCCTTCTTGAGTAGGAACGGCGGGTATAGGCTTTACCTTTCACACCTGCGTCTTAGAAACATCTGGTTCTTCATTCTTTGTCCACAATGGCCATTTCATTTTCAGTGGTTGAATTTAGGAAGGAAGATGAACTCTCTGAGCTAAATGGCCCAATTTAAGGCTCATAAGAATAGTTTTGTTTGTTTTTAAGCATAATTTCTTGATTTAAAAGGGAGAAACACTTTAGGTTATCTTTTGTGCTCTATGCTGATGCTCCTTGGTCTATATGAGGAAGTTCACCACATTCACACTCAGGGTCTGGTGGCGTGACCTTGACTCTGGACGTGGTCCCTGTTCCCTAAGCTTTCTGCTGTAAGAACGCACAGCAAGAGAAAATATCTTTTAAGTTTCTCTTTACATCTAACTTTATGCTGCAGAGGGAGAATCACTTTCTCCCCCTGGATGTCAGTCTGAGAAGAGCTTAGTCCTGAGTCTAAATGCATTCCTCTCAAGTAGATGATCCAAAGGATGGAGGCTCCAGTCTCCTTTTGAAGAAGAAAGTTCTGGAAAACTATTATTATATCATGAGTCAGAGTTGACTTACAGCAACTGGTTTAGATGTGGGAGCTGGCTGTGGAAATTACCTCCTGGGTCTCTGGTAGTCATTCATACAGTGACTCAAAGGGTAAAGATGGAAGGAACAGACTGCGAAACTATCTCTACAAATTGATTGACTGCCACAAATTCTAGAAAATTCACTCTGAATGAGGTTTAGAACAGAAAATGAAAGATGAACTTTGTAGCTTTCCATTTTAAAGGAGCCTGGCCAGTGGGTGGACTGATGGCACCATCCTTCAGTCCACTTAACAATGAGGTAAGATTTGAAGCCAGCAACCTACTGTGTCAGGGGACCCTCAGTTGGATATCATAGAACAGATGAAATTGGCCATCAACACAGATATATATTTCTTGAAATGACAGTTCCAATTGACCCTAAAAAATTGCTATCCACATGAGGCCCAAACCTTTAAGTTTGGACCTGACGGGTCTGTTTATTTTATTTCCCTCTTAGCCTCTTCTCAAATGTTTGCCGGCATAACAAGACCCCAAGGAATATGGGTATTCTTGCTTGGATGGTTTTTCTGTGTGTTAAGGAGCTGAGATATTGAGAATTTTCTGCTTAA